TCATGCGTATACTAGTACCTAATGTAAAAACGTCAAAGCTGAAACTCGACCCTTGTTTTATACTTTAACTTGAATTTCCAATTTATGAATGTCTGAAAAAATCCATCTGTTGTAGGGACTGGATGGAAATTCTAGTTGTCGTTGTAAATTCAGTAGCTTGCAGATATCGTAAAGATATCAAATTTGTTCGGATCACACCGCAAACATCATGGTCCAAGACTTGGTGCTTAATTGAAAAAAAATCAACCTTGTCCATGTTGTATCTAACTTACTTATTATACACATAAACTATTAGCAATGAACTTAACAAAGACCCCATCCTTGAAACTGTAGAATCCAAGATTCATCAGAATCTAGTAACTAATCAACTTGAATGTCAGTTCTTTTGATTGTAGCTTTCAATAATACAGAGTTTAATGCATATTGAGTAATTGTTACAACATGAATTATAAACACTAAACAAACAAGAATATATCATTTTGTCACGGTTTATACTAGCAATGTCCTACAGTTTATTACTGGATAAGGGAATATAAAGTCTACTTTAAAGTACTCGCCAAATTTGATTTCACTAATGGTTATATATTACCAGACTTTCAACTGTACAATACATTCTTATTTTTATTTCCACATATAATTAATGCATCTGAATTAAATGATTAAAATAGCTCACTCATCAGCCAAAGTCGACTTAAGTAGCAATGGTTGTTTCTTTCCCATTGTGTTTTCCTCTATTGTGTTTTTTTTTGTGTGGAGCACCTGATATCACCCCCGGTTTTTGGTGGAGTTCGTGTTGCTCAGTCTTTAGTTTTCTATATTGTGTTTTGTGTACTGTTGTTTTTCTTTTTCGTTTTTTTCATGGCGTTTTTAGTTTATTTTCGACTTATGAGTTTGAATGTTCCTTTGGTATCTTTCGCCTCTCTTGTATTTAGAAATATTTAACCGGGGAAGGTTAGACTTTCAGTACTACATCATAATATTATGTAGTTAACAACCGTATCGAAACTTTCCTGGTACTTATTTCAGATGTATTTTATGTTTAATATGTTCACCATGCTGATTTTTTAAAAAAATGGAACTTTAGTGGTCAGAAAAGTTTACTTTATATATAATTGTTAATAGACTGTTAATGCTTTTGAGATTAAATGAAAAATTTCTTGTGTTTTGATTTCCTTAATGAAACAAACAGTATATCCATCTTCCACTTGCTGCTTGTCTCTCTCATCCATTGTGTGGATGGCAGTTAGATCCCTACAAGAAACAGAAGAACAAAAATAATATGTCTTTAAATATATTTTTATTCTCAATTAAAATTGGCCATCTGTATCAGAGAAAATTCAAGAAGGTAATCACGTAACATGACAAGCATAGATTATAAACAGTTATTTACTTTAGAAATATAGGTAATTAAAAATAAAATAAATGAATAAGTATTCAACTTTTCGCATTCAGTAATGATGAACTATTGAAGTACAGGTTGCATCGTAAATAGTATTTCAGTTTATTATTTTACTTTATGGTCCCGTGTCTAGGTTACTTTCGCACAACTAACAAGTAATTTGACAGCAATATCCACATAGCAAAGATGAAGTTCAAAAAGATTTCAATAATGACAATCAATTAAAACTTTAAAGCAAACAACAGTTTCAGTTGACCCCGACAAAGCTTGAAAGTAGTATGAAAAGTAAGTTAATATAAACTCCTTGTTACAAATGTCATGAACAATTACAACATAAAGTAACTGTGCAATATCATTAACATTGACATACTAAGTTTCATTACATGTATTACAAGTAACAGCACGATAAAAGGTAACTGCATAAAATATTATAAACACCATCGAAAGTAAATGTACAAATTGTTATACACACCGGGAAATGAAATTGTATAAATTGTTATCAGTACCATGAACAGTGACTACATAAATTTACATTCCCTGTTACATTTAAACAACACCATAAAAAGTGACAGCGTAACATTACATGTCTAGTTATCAACACCATGAAAAAGAAATGCATAAAATAACATTCCTTGTCATCAGCACCATGAACAGTGACTGCATGAAATTACATTTCCTGTTATCAACACCATAAAAAGTAACTGCATGAAATTACATTCCCTGTTATCAACACCATAAAAAGTGACTGCATGAAATTACATTCTTTGTTATCAACACCATAAAAAGTGACTGCATAAAATTACATTCTCTATTATCAAAACCATGAAAATTAATTGTATAAAATAGCATGCCCTGTTATCACTACCATGCAAAGAGACTTTATTAAATTACGCTCTCTGTTATTAACACCATAAAAAGTAACATAACAAAAATACCGAAATCCAAAGAAAATTCAAAACGGAAAATCCCTAATTAAATGGCAAAATCAAAAGCTTATATACATCAAACGGATGGAAAACAACTGTCATATTTTTGACTTGGTACAGGCATTTCCTTCTGTAGAAAATGGTGGATTAAACCTGGTTTTATAGCTAGCTAAACCTCTCACTTGTATGACAGTCGTATATAATTCCATTATATTGACAACAATGTGTGAACAAAACAAACAGACATAATTGTTAAAAATGTCAAAAATATGGGTACAGCAGTCAACATTGTGTTATAATCTTAATCACTATAAAAACAAACAAATATGTCAACAATGAAAAACAAAATGGCATATAGACAATGCACATTAGCAAATATGAAAGACAAGAATACAAAAATGACCAATGCATAATAACACAATGTGACTGCATAAAAATTACATACCCTGTTATCAACACCATGAACAGGGTCTCCGTAAAATTATATTCCCTGTTATCAACACCATAAAAAAGGGACTTCGTAACAGTACTTTCATGGTATCAACACTATGAAAAGTAACAGATAATAGTTACATGCCCTATCATCAACACAATGAAAACTGACTGCATAACATTACATGCCCTGTTATCAAAACCATGCAAGAACAGTGACAGCATAAAAAGGAAGAAAACGATACCAAGAGAGAGAAGGCGAAGAAGAGAAATCAAAACCCATAAGATGACGAAAAGTAAACGAAACCATTGACAAAAAAAAAAAAAAAAAGACGAAAAGACCAACACCAGTGTACAAAACACTACACAGAAAATCAACGACTGGGCAACAAGAACCCCGCCATCACCCATTTCAAGTAAAATGTTGATGATAATTTGCATTCGATGATGTCAAAATCTAGATAAATATGATAGGCTTCTGGCTACGACAATTAGAAAGAAGTAATTTCCGTATTTTACTTGCTATTAACGCCACGAAAAAATCACTGCATTATTTTTTCTTTGCCATAACTTAACAATATCTCAAGGAGAGTCTATTATAAGATAAATCGGAGATTCGGTTAAAATATGTCAGCCATTTATTTTCTAAATAATGCCACAACTTACAAGTAATAGATTTGTATATTGAAATAAAACTGTCGTTTATTACCCTGAAGTAAATATAAATGAGGATTGATAGCGAACCTATCAGATGATCAAATATATTTCGGCATAAGAAAAGCAATAAACAAATATAGATATGAAAATGAGAACGGTCTTGTATAATTTTAAACTTACATATGAACACTCATAGATATACCCATTTTCTCATGACTGCATGGAGCATCATTCCATTGATACTGACGGAGTGACCAAAAATGACCACAGTCTTCATTTTTCCAAGATTGCTCGGTTGGCCTGGAAGCCACTGCGAATAAAGAACTTTAGAGGAGTCATGAACCCATCTCCAGTCTCCTTTTTTCTTTAAGTCTGACGCTCCCATCCAAGTGCTTAACCGATTCTGTTTTCATCAATAATAATTGCATATGTTAGTAAAATTTGTCAGTTTATAAAAGGATGCAATTTTATGCAAATCAAAATGAACTCACAAGTAAACACACAATATAATGAGAAGTATCAATAACACGACACTTTCATTTATTGTCTGTGTAACCAGAATCTTAAACACTACAAACGTGTTATGATACAATAACCACAAAAGTTTGAATTGGAATTCGGTTGGTATTGTTACAAAATTTATTTTTGAACCCCAAAAACGCGGCTTAACTGACGCAACGTTTAAACCCGTTTCTACATTTCTGTGGAAATAATAACTATAATGAAAATAATAGTAATTATCATGATAGTAATAATAAGGTATTTATAACAGATTGTGAAAAGATTGTTGTGCAGCTTAAGTCATAAACAATGTGATATAGTTGCTGGGGAAATATCAAATAAAACATTAAAAAAAGTAATTTTATCTTATCGTATTTGTCAAACTAAATATACTATCATGGCCTTTCAACAGATTAATACATTGTTTCTATGTATTAATATTATTTGTATACATTAAACTGATTCGTGCGGAAAAAAAAACCAGAACAATATTTGAATGTAATAGGCTTGGCGTTCCCTGTAAATAAAAAGTTAGTAAATATATTATCAAGCCAATTGCCATTTGTTATATATTTTAACTAGCACTAGATGGTATTATTATATATTTTGGCAGGAAAGTGTTCAGCCGAGTATGTAGTTGATCATACAGAGAACACGGAAATATATATTTTATCTAGCTTTGAGCACGATACCATTTTTCTTTTATTTATAAAGCTTTATCGTTTAGTTAAAGAGCCTTTTTCTCTTATAATCTATTTAGATTTTGACCTAGTTGCTGTTTAAAAAGCATTCTATTATACATGTAGGTTTGTTATGTGTCTGAAACTTATAACTTGATATAAATGCACTGTACATTTTATTTGTTATTTGTTAATTACGCATATAATCTTGATACAAATAAAAAGATACTATCACTCTTTCTCTGAATTTTGGTTTTGTTTTAAAATTCAAAATTTATTTTCACACACTATGTCCGGCTCTATTTTGTCATTTTTCTAATACAGCTGTGTTCCAAAAAATGTAACAGCATTTGTGTTTTTTATCATAAGCATACAATATACTTACTAGTAAGCATGTAAACAACCCACGAATTTTCTGCTGAGTCTGTAATTTTCACAAGGTATCCTCTCATATTTTTACATTGTTTCTGAATTGACAGAGATAGAACGTTATACCCTGAACAATAGCAAAGCATGCAATCATTATTTTAAATTTCTTACTTTTGACTTGTCATTTAACTCTCAAATCGTGTCTAAAAGAGGAATGAAAGATACCAGAGGGACAGTCAAACTCACAGATCGAAAACAAACGCCATGGCCACAAATAAAAAGACAAACAGACAAATAATAGTACAGATGACACAACATAGAAAACTAAAGACTTAGCAACATGAACCCTATCAAAAACAGGGGATGATCTCAGGAGCCCCGGATCCTGCTTCACATGTGGCACCCGTCGTGTTGCTTATGTCATTACAAATCCGGTAAACAGTCTAATTCGGCAGGTCACATTCGTAAAAAAGGGAAGGGTATTGTAGTTACGACATAAGGAACATATCCGATATTATCTGTGAAACGGTTATTCCATAACGGTCAACCAACTCGTGATGGCGTCCGTAAAATTTACGAAGGGATGATTTCAACTTCACTATTTGGAGTTCTTGGTTTAATAGCTTCCTTGTGATCAGCAATCCTCTATCAAGGAAATCATGATAGGAAATACAAGCCCGGGAATAGCGTATCAATTGGTAGATATATACTCCGTATGCAGGTTCTGCTGGAATGTTGCTACATAGAAATGGAAAGTTCACAATTGAGAAGTTGAAATCATCTCTTTTGTCGTAAAGTTTTGTTTTAAACCGACCCTCATTGTCAATTTGTAGATGTAAGTCAAGATATGAGGCAGACTTAACTGTATCTGTTGTATCCTTTATCTCTAGTTCGATGGGATAGATTCGTTCAACATAGTCACCAAAATTTGAATTATTTATTGAGAGAATATCATCTGTATAGCGGAAAGTGAAGTTAAAGGATACTGCTAACTTCTTTTCTTTCTTCCTTAAAAGTTCCTGTATGAAGTCTGCCTTGTATGAATAAAGGAACAAGTCGGCAAGAAGAGGAACACAGTTGGTTCCCATGGGAATGCCAATCATTTCTTGAAAAACACGTCCTCCAAACGTAACAAATATGTTGTCAATCAAGAAATCAAGCATCTTGTTATTGTCATTTTCAGATAATTTTTTGTTTGAATCAGAGTGATTCTTTACAAAGTAGGATTTATCCCTCCCCAAGACAAGATACTTGTATCTACGTTCGCCATTCTTTTTAATGAAACAAAGTAATACCAACTCTTTCAATTTGTCTTTTAGTTTAGAATGGGGAATACTTGTGTAAAGTGTAGAAAAGTCAAATGTTTTAATACTATTGCAAGATGAGAGAGTCTTAGATTGTATGTACTCTAAAAGATTTTTGGAATTTTTTAGTATCCAAATCTGATTCACGCCACCTCTAGAATAGGCAGTTTCACAATAACTTTGAAGCCCGGCTTTGATTGCTGATAAAATAGATGTTAATAATTTGAAAATAGGTTTGGTGGAGCACTTGGAGGACCCAGCAATATACTGTTGTTTGTAAGGACACTTATGTAGTTTAGGTATCCAATACAGTGATGGAAGATCCATTTCTTCATCTTTGGTTGAAATTCTAAAGGAAACATAGAACAGACCTATGATTATCCAGGATTTCGTCTTTGGTAAGTGTCGTGTTGAGTTTCCAAATGAATTGTCAATACCTAATTCATTTATCAAGCAGTTTATGTAATGATATTTACACACAAAAACGATGTTGTTTGGGGCTTTATCTGCGGGGACAACAACATATTTGTCATGGAGGTAGGACAAGTGTTTTGCAACATTTGGGTCTTTAAAAATTGACGTAGCGTGGGTATTGATAGACTCATTTAGTTTCTTAATTCGGATTTGTATCAACGACCTCACAGCCTAAATCCATTCGGAAAGAGTATCTACGTCTTCTTTCTCGCGTTTAGCCCATTGCCTGGCATAATCCTCGACTGAATCCATCAGTATTTTGAAGTTGTATTTCCAATTGATGGATTTAGACTTACGATATTTCGGACCTTTGGATAACAAATTTCGCAGGGAAGTGTTATTGACAATGTTGAGGTCTCCTGTAATAACGTGGCCAGCCGGATTATTTGTGAAATGGGAACTAGCAAAGGTGCAATCAGGAGGTTTATACTTGAAGTCGTCAATGTTGAGATCCTGCAAAACGTGTTTGTAATTGAAAAATTTTAGTTCCAATTGGTTTGGTATAGTTATAAGAAATTATTGGTACAGACTGATCTTTAAAATAAGGAGGTACTTTCGACTGAACCAATTTATGATGAAGGATATTGCCTAAGTTGACTGCATACTATTTATAAAATATCTATTACATTACAAGGTATAATTGACAGAAAATGAGAAAGAGGAAACATAGGACTTGAAACAAAATTGCAACCATTGTATAAGAAAATCCTGTAGTTTTTATTGTAGTAAAATAACATTGATTTTTATAATGCTTCTTACTATTCCGTAACCCGCCCACTATATAGCCACTATATCTTGCAAGGGGATATTTCTTTTAATCTAAAGCTATTGAAACATTTCATATTTTAGAACAAACATAAGGCATGTGGATGTTAAAATGTGTAACCTGAATCCAGTATTTGCAATAGAGAAATATTGACCCAACACTAAATTAATGATCGAACAGCTCTTGGATTGACCAGTTGCAAGGAAACTTGTGGATTATTTCCTTTATCTGTAATTCGTACATTTTCCCTTTGGTATTACTCCCTTATGTTTTTCATGGACAGGACCTGACACTCAAAAATATTAGGCAATGACGCCACCTAACAGTGCGCCAACGTCACGTGTTCATGTCCATCCACGTCCATTTGTCAGTGAAATGCACGTGACTTCATTCATAGAACCGAACAAATATCCTAACGCGTAAAAATTGTTTTACTAACTTTTTAATTTTATTTCATATTCTAAACCAAAAAAACATGCAGTTAAGACAAATAACTGATTAAAAATAAAGGCATTTTATTTTTAAATTCTGACTTCATTAGCTCGAATATCAGCTTGCCTCCTCGCTTTATATTCTTGCTGAGAAAGTGAGTACCAAAAACAAAAATGCAATTGTTCTATATATGTAAGTATAGGTAAAGAAGTTGCCTACTGCAGCATCCTGTCAATTTTTACCATCAGGTGAAAAAAAAAATAGCAGTGATCCTTGTATTCCTTCCAACCGGCTGGACAATTCTCATTTGCAGTGCACTCTGTTGAAATAAATATGATAAGCGTTATACCAAGAACTATGGTTCAATATTAAAATTAACAACGCATAATTAAAAAAAAACTTTTAAGGATGAACTTAGGTCCGGTTTAGGAATTTTTGTCAGATGTTTGGATTCCTTGGTTTTTTTCCTACGATACAGGATAAATTATTTTGCCCCATAACACCCATTTTTCTTGTCATATAAGACTTCAATAGCTCATAAAAAGTCATTTACTAAAATTAAAGCAGATTCTAGGTTTCTTTTCTTTCGATTTGAAACCCAAATAATACCAATGCAAATATAAGGTAAAAGTCCGAGCCTGCCTTTTCCCGCCATTTAAAAAAATTATTTCGAAAAGGAGCTTCATAACCTATCAATATCTCTAACTTATTTTGTTCCTTAACTAATGCTCTTCTGACTGATAGTATCAATTTTAAATTTTAGAATTTTTTACTTTCACCTAAGTACATCCTTAAATCATTTGTTTACATTTTTTTGTAGTTGTTTGTCTTTCGACTGTTCAAGAAGTATCAAATAGTAAAAGTGAGTTTAGCGAATAGAAATTACATTGAAACTTTATTCGTTGAAATCTACGTTAAAAGATGTAACCTACCACATTTTTTTATCTTACAAAAAATAAATCAACATTTGATTAAGAAATTATCATTTAAAACTTTAACTTGTAATTGATAAATTTTCGGCGACACCGGTTTAGTATCTCAATAAGACATACATGCATATATGCCATCTTAGAACGTCATACATCATGTATGAAAACCGAAACTGCTTTGATATCGTAAATTCACTATCTCATTCATCTCGCGTTCCTGCGTTGTCTGACGGTAACCGATTATGCTATTTTTCAAACCAACATTGTATGGAACCTCCAAATGGTGCATTTTCTATCGCTAAATATTGATTATTCTTAAACATTTCAAATTATTTTAAGTATTAATAAGTTTTACTGCATGTTAATGCTTCAAGTCTAGCTATATACATTAAAATTGAGAATGGAAATGGGGAATGTGCCAAAGAGACAACAACCCGACCATAGAACAGACAACAGCAGAAGGTCACCAACAGATCTTTGTATATATATATATTTTTTTTAAAAACCCAAGCATAGTTACACTTAAACGACAGTGCGTATGATAACACAGTTACAGGTTTATGTTGACATAATAACCTTCAAATTATTGAACTTTTACTGTTCTCATTCAATCTGGTGGAACAAAGAAATTGACACTTATTATAACGTCATATATATATATTAATAACAAAAACAAACGTATATACAAAGTACCACGCCGTACTAGTAACATGATTAATTTTTTTTAAAATAGACATATTTCTATCTAGTAATTGTTATAACTATGATATATATCTATATATTATTTTAATCCTTAGATAACGAACTGAGCTAAAAAATCTGTTTAACAGGCATTATGCCATGTGCTATCATCTCAGTATAAAACCTTTGTTATTTATCGACGCACTTATGTTTTATTTGCATGATATGTTTCAAACGAACTTCTGTCTAAATAAAGTCCTTATTTTGAAACAGTAAACAAAAAAAGTTACATAATTTGAATGAAAATTCATTCAAGCAAGCCCGGCTAAGATGTAGACTAAACTCCTACGTATACCTGATGTGAAAACGTCAAAGCTGAAATTCGTTCGTTTTATACTTTAATTTAAATCTCAACTTATGAATGTCTGTTAAGATCCATCTGTTGAAGGAACTGCGGTATGATCACATCCCAAGCTTTCATGGTTACGACTTGGTGCATAATTGTGATTTCA